GTTAGTGTATGAATGTGAGGATTGAGTAAGGATTGTAATGAGTGCTTACTGGTATGTGAAGAACTCTTCTGTTGATATTTCTTGTGAAGTAATAAAAGTTATAATTGAAATTTGTCTTTGTTTCTTAAATGACATAGAAAGATAATCTATTGTAAGTCTCACACATCAGGTTGGATGTCCACATACATATATGCAAAGCAGTGTGGCATGAATACATGTAGGTTTATTGCCTGATGGGTTAAAGAGCACATGTGCATGAAGTTTCAAATTTTAACTCACTTTCTGTGACTTCTCAAAATTACCTGATTTGATTATTTCAAAGGATATTATTTCATAAGATTTTTCCAAATCATTGAAAATAAAGTGAAGGAGTGACTGAGTTGGGTTTGAATGTGGCTTTCCAGAATATTTCACTGATCTCACGACGTCCAGATTTAATGTAGGAGAACCAACACCACCATGGTATTTAAGTGATGTAGTAAGACCTGGAGGACAAGGCCGGTATCTGGCTGACAGAGGGTGTTATGCAGCATGCATTCGCAATGTAGCATTGCATCCTAATTTCACCACTGCTGCTGATGGGAATCAAACTCTGGATCTTCAGTGAGCGCCCTGATGAAACAAGTGGCTGAAGGCAGGCTCACCAACCACTGAGCTAACCAACCCATTCCCCTCCACCCCCAATTGAAATATGGAACACATTGGCTTAAATACTAAAATTGATGATTTCAAAGGATTTTACTTTTTCGTATGTTCTATGCTGAAATACACATAATCAACTTAAGTCAACATCACAGATAATGTTTTCAAATTTTGACTGAGTTAAGATTATTTTTTTTCAAAATTACTGAAACTGGACCAAATTGGCTAAAGTCCAATAATGAGGTGATTTCAAAGGATATTATTTTTATTCTTTTTTCTATTTGTTTCTTCCCTTAAAATACATTGAAAAATCCAACTGCTCCATCATAAAATAAAATTTTACATTTTGACTGAATTTTACAGATTTTTTCACAGTATTGAAATTGGACCAAATTGGCTAAAGTCCCATAAACTGATGATTTCCAAGAATATAATTTTCTCTTCTTTTATATGTATACCTTGCCTAAATACACATAACCAGACTAAATGGCAACATCCCAGAATGATTTTTTAAATTTGGACTAAATTTTACATGTTTTTTCACAGTACTGAAATTGGACCAAATTGGCTAAAGTCCCATAAACTGATGATTTCCAAGAATATAATTTTCTCTTCTTTTTTATGTATAGCTTGCCTAAATACACATAACCAGACTAAATGGCAACATCCCAGATTGCATTTTTAAATTTGGACTGAATTTTGAAGATTTTTTCACAGTACTGAAATTGGACCAAATTGGCTAAAGTCCCATAAACTGATGATTTCCAAGAATATAACTTTCTCTTCTTTGTTATGTATAGCTTGCCTAAATACACATAACCAGACTAAATGGCAACATCCCAGAATGAATTTTTAAATTTGGACTAAATTTTGAAAATTTTTCACAGTACTGAAATTGGACCAAATTGGCTAAAGTCCCATAAACTGATGATTTCCAAGAATATAATTTTCTCTTCTTTTATATGTATACCTTGCCTAAATACACATAACCAGACTAAATGGCAACATCCCAGAATGAATTTTTAAATTTGGACTAAATTTTACATGTTTTTTCACAGTACTGAAATTGGACCAAATTGGCTAAAGTCCCATAAACTGATGATTTCCAAGAATATAATTTTCTCTTCTTTTATATGTATACCTTGCCTAAATACACATAACCAGACTAAATGGCAACATCCCAGAATGATTTTTTAAATTTGGACTAAATTTTACATGTTTTTTCACAGTACTGAAATTGGACCAAATTGGCTAAAGTCCCATAAACTGATGATTTCCAAGAATATATTTTCTTCTTCTTTTATATGTATAGCTTGCCTAAATACACATAACCAGACTTAATGGCAACATCCCAGAATGAATTTTTAAATTTGGACTAAATTCTACAGGTTTTTTCACGGTACTGAAATTGGACCAAATTGGCTAAAGTCCCATAAACTGATGATTTCCAAGAATATATTTTTCTCTTCTTTTATATGTATATCTTGCCTAAATACACATAACCAGACTAAATGGCAGCATCCCAGATTGCATTTTCAAATTTGGACTGAATTTTGAAGATTTTTCCACAGTTTTGAAACTGGACCAAATTGGCTAAAGTCCCGTAAACTGATATATTCCAACACTAAATTTGGACCAAATTGGCTGAATCCCCGTGTTATTATAAGATTCCTTATATGTTGTATATCTACGATGAAACTGTAATTTCTATGTGAGCCATATTATTTATGCCAAAATCTAAGACCGAAAAACAAAACTTGTGTCATTACTTCTGGCGGTAAATGGTATTCTCTTATCAAGAAAGTGATAAAATCTACTTCAAACACGATATACCTATGTTCTATGAGAAAACTTAACGCACACTCGCAGTAAATATAAACAGTCCGTTTGAAGTTGCACGCATAGCTACAGGATTACCAAAACACATACTTGAAACAGGATGGAGCACTGTTCAGAAAGAAGAAAACATCGCTAACTTTGCATATTACATAAAAGTTACAATGATAAAGTCACCACATATATATTTACGTGACCCTTTGTCTATTACTGTTTAGACGGGGACTTCATAAAAATTTAGCAATGCGTGTAATATTCAAAAACATATATTTTATTTCCTTCATCTTAAAAAATGTGAAGCGATATACATATTGGAGAAGGGGACTAGTCAACCCGTACTTTCAACAACCCGTAACCCATACCTGAGATTTTGGCTTACCCATACCTACATTTGGCTGACCCGTACTCAAATTGGCCGACCCGTACCTAAAATTGGCTGACCCGTCCCCAAATTCGGTTAAGCCGTACCTAAAATTGGCTGATCCGTACCTATACATTTGGCTGACCCGTACCCTATAGACGTGTTTGTTATTAGAAAACAAAGTGGCGGAGAAACAGGATTGTTTTAACCAGAAGAGACAAAGGAAAACATACAAAAAAGTGTTTGACGCACATATTCATTCAATTTCATTCAATTCATACAAATTTATACTTCAGTCTCGGTGAATGACATCGACCTGACGTAGACAACATCATATTTATGCTAACTTCCGTCCAAGAGACCAGTTTGTGAAATATATCGGATGTTGTTTTCAGTAATTCCAACTGCCTTGAAGCTAGCCATTGTTATTACAAACTATCTATCGGTAGCGATTGGCTTATTCAGTTATTAACATGCTTTTCATTCAGTTAACTAAACATGGCAGTTTTCAGATTATCAAAAGTTTAGCGTTTTATAAAAAATCTCATTATTTTGATAGTAAATGTCAACAATGAGTGTTTTACAAATTGGCTCAATCAATTAAGTGAACTTCCCGCTTTTGTTTAAGCATATTGGGTGAAGAAACTCTTGAGGGTCATGTCGATGTTAGATAAAACTATGTCTTTGTGTTGAATATTAGTATTAATAATATCAATTTCTATTGGGTACGGGTAAGCTTTTTCAAGGCAAGGGCCACTGAGTAAGGGTTATTGAAACATGGGTACGGGTAAGCCAAGAGATGTTTTCCCGCCCCCTCACTAAACTGAAGAGTAATAAACAAACAAACCACGTGAAATAAGAACAAACAATATATAATAAAATCAAAACAAAAATACGACATGTAAAATTGTCTGCGAGGTCTGTCATGAGATAACTTCAAAAGGAATGTCCACTGGACGACGAGGTCATTGTTTGCGTCAGTAACACAAATTGTACATAGATTTGAACTAATAATAAATGGCTGTGTAGGTAACACCTATACAAATATATTTTCAAAAGAGATTGAATTTCCAAAAATATCTATCAATAATCTCCATTTGTACTTCCCCGTCCTTGTGTTTACACTCCTTAATTTCTGAACATTTCCTAACAGTGTATTTATGTTTCGTGTAAATATTGTTAATGAAAGTTATATACCCAAGTTGAAATAAGTTGTGCCCAATTTAAATATAAATATGTTGAAACAATACAGAAGATATATATCCACTGCCCTCCACTGGACAGACTTGCGGTTTTTTTCTTATGATTTTTTCAAATATATTTTCATCATTTAACTGGATTTGGGCGACAGTATAAAAAGACAATTAAGTTATTTTGTTTAAGACGTCGATAAGAATTAAGGACTGACGCGTTGATGCCCCAGAAACATTTTACTTTTTAGACTTACGGCAGAAGTTACACATATAACAACTCTTTCACCTACGTGGATTTTCGAAAATCGCGAAAATATAATGATTGTTTCAATACAAATAGTGTTAACTCATATAGGAATAATTCGCTTTCGATGCAGTAGTCCCATTCCCACTTTATACTTGTGCTAAAATATCTCATGACATTATTATTATTTTTCTTACAAAATATATGTTTAAAAAATGGCAATAAATATCATATTAGAAGCAACAAATAGCATAAGAGAAAAAGAAGAAAAGTTTGACATATCTTCATTTAATACAATCAACTTTGTTTGGAAACAAATTTTATAAAAAGACACACAAACTTGACATGAATGTTCCTGGAAGAATGGCCTCATATGTTTACTTTCAAACTTCGAATCTGAAAGCAAACACAGGATTTGTAACTGCCTGTACAGAAAAGGCACTTGCATGATTTATTCAATGTCAATTTCGTTTCCGTTTACCAATGCAACATTTTAATGTTCGGGCTACGATATCCGCCATTATGGATTGGTCACTTCGCTTTCAGCATGCTATCGGCTTGTTTAAATCAGAGACTCTCAGATAGCGTATTTTAGTCGCTGTTTATCATTATATATAATAAAATAATATTTATGAAAACGTTGCGAGATATAACGAAGGGCTAACGAAGGGCTATAGGCATGCACACCTGCATGTAACCACTTTCAACCAATCAGGATCAGTTGACATCGTATCGCTAAGTGCGCGTCTGAAATGTTGTGACCATGGCGTCTTGAAGTGAGCAAGATTCAGTTAAGTTTTGACAAAGATGGAGATATGAACATATACTATTATTGACACGAGCCCACAACTAACGATGCCACCCAAAAAGACTTTCCAGACTAAAGCTGCTACAACAAAAACAGCAAACAAGGGAAATACAACTAAGAAAGTATCAACAGGGCCAGGTACGGTTAGGATATCAGAGTATGCAACCCAAATGTAGCTCCAGATGCTTATTATATATATATATATATATATATATATATATATATTTATATCAGCAGTGCCATCTTTTAACTGTTCGAAAATAGGGTATTTCAGGATATATATATCCTGACGGACCCTACTTTCGAACAGTAAAGGGGCACTAATCTCTGGCTTCTTCACGGCTGTCTAATACTGGTCGCTGGCGCTTCCTAGCTGCCGTGAGTCTATTTGCTCGCAAACGCAACTGAGCGTGACAAGAGATTGGGCTACCGTCTGTAAAGAAAGCGTAAATAAACTTGGAGGCTATATTTGTTTTATGAATTTTTGAACACCGATTGGTTACCCGCGATCTATGAAGATTTCGACAAAGCGTGCATGTTAATTAATTTCTTCAGCCTAAACAAACAGACAAAAAGAACGGCGGAAGCTCATTCACTTGATGCTCAGTTAAAGGGGCACTGATCTAACGCAATTCCCCGGGACTGGTTGTTGCCTTTGTTATTGTTTTTTCCCCGTGAGTACCCGGATGATAAAGCAGAAATCTAGACTAGTTCGCGACCTGTGCTGCGCCATTCGTAAGCGCATTTGTCACTTTTATTGATAGTATAAGGGCGTATGGTCACATTGATCAACAAAATGACTTACAGTTTTTGAAATAATAAGGAAAAGTAGTTATCTTTGAGGGTAGCATCGGTAATGGTGACGAAGTTTTGATAAGTCACTTGCTTGGTAATTTTGCGATTTTCGTTTACACTATTTTTACTTGCAACATAAAGTAAATATTTCACCTGAGCATTGCTTTTTTTATAGTGTGTATATTATTTTACTGTCAAAATGTGCAACATATTTATTAAACGTCTAAATATTCAGTTATTTTACAAATTGACTGAAAAACATTTCCATCTGTATTATTATGATAACGAATTCCAAGCATTTTGATGTTTAATGTCATCACCAAGAGACTGAAAATGTTACGTTGAAAAGTACATTTCTATGTTGTTTGGCTTCTAATCCTACATAATAATCTGTTGTGATGTTTGTAGGCCCTTTTGATAGTCTTAATCAATCTGGACAGATTTTTTTAGTCAAAATGACTGACTGACTGATATAGAAGATTCAACGTGCGCTTTCCGACTGTAGCGTATTTCGCACACGGCCCTGGCCGGACCATTTAGTGTATTCCAAAAAGGGTGAAAGTGGTGTGTACAACCCAAGAGGGGGCTTTTAGGGGTTGCTTGTATTGAATTTTTGGAATTTTTAAATTTGGAATAAAGGACTGAAATATTTACACATTTTATATATTGCCTGAGAGAATTACATTTTACAAATTGACGGTAATATATACACGCTTACAAAGGAAAAGACCTGTGAAAACAACGTCTATCGCGCATTGAAGAATTTCCAAACCAAGACGTAGAGAAACAAGAACGAATTATCGGTTCAAATGAAGGAAAACAAAATGCAAATACCATAATTACAACCTACCAAATTTATGTGTATAAATTTTAGGCAGCTTCCTTGTTCGAGGAATGTACCTGTGAATATCCACACAAAGGAACAATATCCCACTCGTCTGCAGCTGTACAAAGAAACTTATTCGATGTCACATGCCTCTGTAACAATCAAATATTTTAAAAGATATATATCGTTTCGGGATATTATAACCCGTGTTCGTTTCTCAACTGATCACTTGGATTGTTTCAGGTGTTTCACATAGGTGTCAAGTCTCAAGGGTCGGCTGAGAAAGCCCACGTGACAACTATTTTCATAACGTCCACGGTTCCTAAAACATCCATTGAGTGATAGATAACAATGATCAATCAATCAACGTATTATCAGTTAACCCTTTGAACAAAGTATGTTGTTTTTACATGGGCACTTCACGCCATGATATGAGTGTATTCCCTTTGTTTTAGTAAACCTAGACATGTAAACACTCACTTTTGACATATCCACTGTGCAAGATAACAGTGATTAATCAATCAACGTATTTTCTGTTAATCCTTTGATGACTAGGAACGATCCGTTGATATACAAAAAAAAGTAAATCAACTGATCATTCATCTCTTGCTGGGCTGCCATGTGCATATTACATAACACACATTTCACCTCACTTCAAACCTGGATTTAGATTGAATAATTACCCCAGACACAATAAATGCCAAATGGGAACCTTTGTCAGGTAATCTAAGTGATGCTACCACTAATTGTACCTGTAATAAATTCATTAACTGAGCATCAAGTGAATGACGACAAATACACAAGTGTAGGGGTTATACGAGAAAACGTGGATGACAAGGGAGTAGTAATCGTATTATTGACGCAATCCGAAATCCGAAAATGCTTTCACTGCATGGATACTTTTTTTAGTATTAAACTATAACCATCTGGGGTATTTCCAAATGACGACATCCGATGAGCTCCGCCGTTCTTTTTGTCTGTTTGTTTGGGCTGAAGAAATTAATTAACATGCGCCCTTTGTCGAAATCTTTATAGATCACAGTTAACCAATCAGTGTTTATGCAAAAATGCGTAAAACAAATATTGCCTCCAGCCTCCAAGTTTATTTAACTGTCCTTGCAGACGGTAGCCCAGTCTCTGGTCACGCTCAGTTGCGTTGCGTATCATCCAGGTACTCACGGGGGAAAAAACAATAACAAAGGCAACAACCAGTCCGGGGAATTGCGTTAGATCAGTGCCCCTTTAATGAATTTATTACAGGTGTAATTCCTAGCCATCAAAGGATTAACAGAAAATACGTTGATTGATTAATCACTGTTATTTTGCACAGTGGATATGTCAAAAGTAAGTGTTTACATGGGTAGGTTTACTAAAGCAAAGGGAATACGCTCATGACATGGCGAAAGATGCTGATGTAAAAACAACATACTTTGTTCAAAGGGTTAACCGATAATACGTTGATTGATTGCTCATTGTTATCTAAACTCAATGGATCTTTTTAAAGAACCGTGGACATTATGAAAATAGTTGTCACACTGGTTTTCTCAGCTGACCTTTGAGACACCTATGTGAAACGCCTGAAGCAAATTAAGTGATCAGTTGAGAAACGAACACGGGTTATAATATCCCGAAAAAATATAATATATTTTAAAATATTTGATTGTTACAGAGACATGTGACATCGAATAAGTCTATTTGTACAGCTGCATATTGTTCCTTTATGTGGATATTCACTGATACATTCCTCGAACAAGGAAGCTGCCTATTATTAAACATATAAATTTGATAGGTTGTAATTATGATGTTTGCATTTTGTTTTCCTTCATTTGCTGTAGAATTGAATAGATTCATTCTTGTCCCTCTACGTCTTGGTTTGGAAGTTCTTCGATGCGCGATAGACGTTGTTTTCACATGTCTTTTCCTTTGTAAGCGTGTATATATTATAGTAAATTTGTAAAATATGATTCTCTCTGGCAATTTATAAAATGTCAAAATATTTCAGTCATTTTGACTGAATAATCTGTACATTTATTTAACAAATTGACTGAAGTGAGTGAGTGAGTATGGTTTTATGCCGCTTTTAGCAATATTCCAGCAATATCACGGCGGGGGACACCAGAAATGGGCTTCACACATTGTACCCATGTCGGGAATCAAACCCTGGTCTTCGGCATGGCGAATGAACGCTGTAACTACCAGGCTACCTGACCACCTCTAGATATACTAAAAATGATTTAGACGGTCAAAAGGGCTTAAAAACGCCACAATAAATTAAGTATGCTAGGATTAGAAGCCAAACAATATAGAAATGAACTTTTAATCCGAACATTTTCAGTCTCTTGGTGATGATATTAACCCTAAAAATGTTTGGAATTCATTATCATAATACAGATGGACATATTTTTCTGTCAGTTTGAAAAATAATTGAATATTTAGGCTTTTAATAAATTTCCTAAGTCAAAATTTTGCACATTTGACTGTAAAAATATAAAGATGATTAAATAAGCAATGCTCAGGTGGAATATTTACTTTGTGTTGAGTAAAAATTGTGTAAACAAAAATTGCACAATTACCAAGCAAGTGACTTATCAAAACTTTGTCACCATTGCAGATGCTACCCACAAAGATAACTACTTTTCCTTATTATTTCAAAAACTGTAAGTCATTTTGTTGATCAATGTGACCATACGCCCTTATACTATCAATAAAAGTGACAAATGCGCTTACGAATGGCGCAGCACAGGTCGCGAACTAGTCTAGATTTCTGCTTTATCATCCTGGTACTCACGGGGAAAAAACAATAACAAAGGCAACAACCAGTCCCGGGGAATTGCTTAAGATCAGTGCCCCTTTAACTCTAAAAAAATGTAACTATTATGGTTCTATTCGGATGAACAAAACCTTCCAAATGGCGTGCTGGTTTTCTTGGGGGAATTAGTCATCAAAGAGCCGGAGTCACAGGAGACTAATCACAATTTTATTTACAAGAATAATTAACAATGAACAATTTACAATATCTTAGAATATAGCTGAGGGTGCCACAGAGAGTCGGTACAACCCTCTGGGCTGTGGGAGAGAGGTCTGCTTGGTATGAGCGTCAAACCCCTTCTGCTCAACATTTTGCATCTGTATGTATTTAACAAAACAATAAAAAGGAATATGACTGGTTGATACACGATGGTTAATGAATGGCTAGACAGAGGGGAATACTTAATCCTGATGGACTGGCACTAATCTTGTTGACATATTTACTGGGTGCTTGGAAAGAGATTATGGTATCACTATAGACGAGCTTGTATGGGGGCTAATCCTTAATGAGTCTAAATTGAAGAAATTGCTGAATGTTATTCTAATATAGGTGATGACAGATTTACTTAAATAAAATAGTTCAAAGCAATCTATAAAACTATGTAGACATAACTTTTGTCTTATTGATTAGTATGTCTGGGAGATGGGATCTTGTCACCTTAGGCTAGCATCTATCTAAAAAGCTATAACTGAAACTACTGATATTTTG